CTCGTGTGAAAAATGAAAATATCTCTCATGGTCACTTACAGGATCAAAGGAAAGCACATGTGGAACTACTCTATGTTGCCTGGGTTTGAGTCCCACTCTGCCCCTGAGGCTGGGTCACCGGGAGCGAGTGACTGTAAATCCCCGATGGCCACAGGATAAGCCTACGTTCCTCAGCCTGGCGCATAAGGCCCTTTAAGGTCTGCCCTTGCTTTTCCTTTGCAATCTGATGTTCCGTCTCCAATGGTTTTCCTGCTTTCTAGGTGCTGAGTTTGCTTGTCCTTTGAGGCTGTGGCCAGTCTTTATTTTCTAACAGGCCTCCCCTCGCTGTGCCCTCAGGCTGGGAGTGTGCTGTCCCCACAGCCCCCTGGAGGTGTCTGTCATAGCACAGATCCCAATGGTATGACTGTTTACCTTCTTCTTCTAATAACCTGTGAGCCCCTCAAGGAGTGAGACTGTGCCTTTACCTGCAGTATCCACGGCACATGTGGAAGTGCTCAGATTGGGGCACCTGGAAATAGCCATGGGGATGATGGTTGGGACAAGGTCAACCATTGAAGACTTCCCCCCAACAAATTTATTTTAAATTTGGCAAGTAGTTTATTTTTAAAAAAAGAAGTTCAGTTTTTGTTTTTAAAAACTTACATATAAAAAATCCCTGAAGACGGTCTTTAAAACAGATTTACCTTAATCCATTTCACAGCTGTGAGTGCGTGCTAGCGCAAGCCACCAAGTGTTCTAAAGTGTTTCCCCTTCTCTAAAGGTGTCCAGAAATTTCTCAGTGGGAAAGTTAGAAGAAAGAGTTTGTAAGCAAAGGCAGAGTGAGATCCTTCAGCTCCTTCTTAGTGTGGCCGAAGAACGGGTGGAGACCCCCAGAGCACACCAGGCAAGAAGCGTCTGCGGGGACGGAGGCAGCACCCTTTTGCCCGGGAAGCCCTAGCGGCTGTCAGCCTTCCAGGGAGGGTGACTGTGTGGGACGGGTGGAATCACGCTGTGTCCTAGAATAGGGCAGCAAAGGTCCCTCTGCTGAGCAAAAGTCACTGTGCTGGGATGAAGGCCTCTGTTGACACAGGACAGAATGTTCCAACACAGGGATATCTAGGTTAGAGCCCTTGTTATGAAGGGGGGGGGGGCTGTCTTCTGTTGAGAGCAGCTCAGCTCTCACCCACAGTAGGTGCGAAGCCACCTTGAAAGCCTCCATGAAAGAGAGGTGAGCCCCACACCTCTTGCTTCTCTTGCTAATGATCAGTCTGAGGATTTTTCTTGTGAGCTAAACAAGAAGGCTCCAAGGCAGGCTGGGCAGGGACAGAAGCCTGGCTCCTGTGCCTCAGGCTTCCCTGCTGAGGGGACACCAGTTGTTGCCACCTTGTCCTTGCCCAGGAGGCATCCAGCATGATTCACCCCACCTATTTGAAGTAGGCAACCTGAGCCCGTGTTTCACAAGGCTCTAAACAGTTTCCCTCACTGATTCCTCTCCCTACAGCTGCGGCCTGAGCAAGGTCAAAGCCTCAGCTTCTGCTGGGATTTCCACAAGAAACTATCCCCCTTCCCTCTGCTGTCCTTTCCATTTCCTACACCCTGTGGCTCTGACTGTGTTTTGCAAACACCAAGCCCACAGTTTGCCAGAACCCCAAGGTCAGAGTCTGAGGAATCTGTCACCGCCTGCTGGTATGGGTTTTGCAGCAAATGTGAGCCCCAGGGCCATCACCTGCTGGGTGCAGGCAAACTGCTTCATGTCGAGATGGGGTGACCAGACCATCCTGGTTTGCCCAGGGGCTTTTGTGGTTTCAGCACTGACAGACAAACATTCTTGGAGGCCCCTTCATCCTAGACAATTGGGGATGTTTAGTGGTCCTCCTTGCAAGCTTCCTAGGGCCATGTGCTGCTCCTCTCTGCCCATCCACCTGACCAAATGGTTGTGCGTGTCCTGAGCTGTTGAGTCAACCTCGACCTTGTAGATGCTGTGGCTTAATGGCACTGATTGTATTTTCCTAGACATTTCAGAGCCCAGCTGGTGACCTTTCCCTAAAGGACATGGGGGCAGTCATTAGGTGCACTGAATGTGTTCGTCTTTCTCTTGCCATTTCTCCTCTCTTTAGTTTATATTTGCCTTATTTTAGTACTTATTGTAGAATATGCCCTCTCTCCCTTTATAGTATGTAGCTTGTAACTATTTTAAATCCTTTTCAAAAGCCCTTCAGATTGTTAGCCCCCTGCCAAACCTCTTGGAGGAAATCTATCCTAGGTACTCCAGATCCATCTTTGAATACATACCCAGGCCAGGATGCTCATTTATGATAAAATAGACCTGATTGGTCAAGTGGAGAAAAATCACTGGTCTTTTGCGTTTGTTGCTACTACAGAGGTATTTTCAAAAACCCCAAAAAAGTGCACGCACCTGAGCTGAAAGAGGGACACCTAACCTTGAAACTGCCGCGCACCCTCTGAATGTGCTCCACGATTCCTGCCGCCATCGCACCGCACTGCATCGCACAGCATCACATTGCATGGTACGGAGCATCACTGCAACGGCCGCCCCCAGCCACCACTCCTGGGGCTGCCGTGCTCTGGTTTCCCTCCAGCTGGAAGACCATAGCTTTCCACACACAGGAAAGTCTAAGTGCAGAAACAGTTGTTTGGGTTTTCTGAGTTGGGCCAAACGAAGCCAGCCAGAGGCGGGTTCTGGGAAAACAAGACGGGGCCTGCATGGCAGCTACCGTTGGTCTGGCTTTGAGGAGGTGTGAGGATGGGAATTCAGAGTCCACAGTGGCTGGAGGCGGGAGCCTGCCTGTGATCCCCAGTGTTTATTTACAATTCTGTGCCCTCGGCTGTTTTGATTTTCAGCCTGGAAGGTATTCCAGGGCTAAGTAACTTCTGCCTTTGGCTCTGGTAGAACAATCCAGGCACTCTTTGGCAAAGGAACTTGGACATTTCTCCTGCACTAGGGTTTGGACATGGGATCAGGGAGTCTTGGAAAAAGCACTTAGGAAATGTAGGCCTGGTCTGTTTGTTAAAGTCATTCCCCTTTGCATGTAATTTACCTTTGCAGACACTCGCTTCCTGCCTCAGCCACACAGTCAAATGACCAATTCGTCCTCAGGTCTGACAAACGTGGACGGCTGCCACTGTGCATTGTTATCTCAATTGTCCAAACGGTCCAAGGAAAATAGCCGAGGCTTATTTGACTGATTTCTCTTACTTCCCAGACGGATTATGATTCATTGGGAAAATGTTCCCTGTGGTTTTTTGAGCATTTCAAGCCACAGTCATGCTGAGCAGGCCTCTGAGCACGAAGACCAGGTCCTGAAGGACTTCAGCTGGGCAGAAGCTCCTTTTGAGATCCGAAACCTCAGTTAGCTCCAGGTTCAAGTGGATTTCACCAAAATCGGTCCCCGACCTTTGACCTTGATTACAAATCAGACTATCAGACTGTGACATTTGCCCCAGTCACAAAAGGAACAGTTTCCCCCTACCCCATGAAATATTGTGGTTTTATAGAAAAGCTGAGCCAAGCTATCAGGTTTATGTCCAGCTTAGGGTAAATATCCCAGATACGTTAATTCAACATGCTTTGTGGTTTCTGTTTCTTGAGAAATTTTAGTGACAGCACTTTGAAACTCATCAAGCCGTTATGCTGGGCAACAGAGCCAAACCAAAATTCCTCTTCAGACTGGATGCTCTCTCTCCTGGCGGTTTGGGCCTGTCCATAACATAAGAGGTGCAGACTCCTGTAATAGAGGCCAACTCCTCACTGGGTGAAACCATTCAGTCCAGCCTACAGGCTACCTTCTTTCCCAACAGTGACCCATGGGGCTTTGTGACACTTCAAGGAAGCAATGCAGTGCCTGCAAAGTCATGAAGAGAGGGCCAGAGAAGACAGACTACATACAATAAGCAAAAATTCTGGCACGTGGTGGTGGCCCAGAATGTTCTCCCTCGGCCCAAGTCTTCATGGAGATCAGGACCCTTCTAGGAAGAATCTCAAAGTGTATCTACTGGAGTAGGTGGTGGTGTCACACACATACACACACACACACACACACACACACTGTCTCTCTTGGGAGGCTGAGTGAAGGATGGGGCGAATAGTTGGGAGCAAGAGAATAATTTAACTAGAGAGGAGCTATTGCCCACTTTTAAGGTTAATAGTCACAATAGGTCAGGGTATTTGAAAGTTTTGAGTGAGGTTGGTTTTAACAGTAATATGCTACTACATCTAAAATCCTGGCATCCTCCAAAGTTCTTCCCAGTTCATCTCCAAGGTATGAAACTGTCACAGGCTTTATCCTCAAGCGGTGGGATTTCCATGGTAGAGATAATAGACTCAGGCTCAGTGGATTCTGTTGTTTGTTCTTGTTTCCTGGAGCACAGAACTCTATTCTCTGAGACTTTTGCACTAAAAATTCATCAGCATTTATCCCACTCGGTACATGGTATGATTTCCGTTGTTATCCTTTTTCCTCTTATTTAATATGAGCCTAGAGCCGCCCCTCGCTGAGGACTGTGAGCAGACAAATATATTGAAAGGTGATGAATACAAAGGGACTTGGCTGCCAGCCAGTCAGTATAGTAAAAGGATGAGAATTCAGAATGTTAAAGGTTAGCACTGCGTGGGATTTTCCGATCCCTGGTTTCAATGCATTTGCAACACAGGGACAACAATTGGCCTCCCACAGCCCTGCTCACAGGGTGTTCACCTGGCGGTGACTCCGCTCGCCAGCCTTGGAAGCGCCCAGGGGCAGGTGAGAGCACAGTCTAGACTACTGCTGTGTCACATGCCCCGGGTGGGTGGGGACAAGTCCAAGGGACAGCTGTTGCAGCTCTCACGTAACAAACACTAGCACTGCAGAGGGCCAGCCGGCAGCCTCGAGCTTGGGCCCTGTCACTCGGGCCTCCTTGTTCCTTCTCCCTTTGCTAGGAGCCCAGGAACAAGGCATGGGGCCAAGGGGAAACCAGAGCCTCCAGATTTCTGTTTTACAAACCACTGTCCACTTTATTGGAAACACAAACAGCACATGGGCAGGGCGGTGAGCCCTGAGCCGACATCACATTCCACACGGCTAAGCGCCCCCAGCCCACCAATGTCCTAAAAAGGCCGGAAATCTGCCAAGATTCCTTTCAGGTAAATCAAGATCATAATAAATCTCTTTTTGGTAATTATAAACTTATCATTTTAATTTTTAAAAAATTCATTTATATTTTGCTTAAGTACCCATGAATTGATAAATATGGTCTTTGTGCTTAGTTATATAATAAATACTGTTTAAAGGGGCCAGCCAAACACTTGTCTCTGTCCGTAAATGGGCATATGTTATACATGTATGTCAGTGACACACACATGTGTGTATTTCAACTGTGTATATGCACCTGTGGTTGAATGAAGCAGAGCCCAGCTAGTGTCCCCACGTCCAGCCCAGACTGCCTGAATCCCGAACAGCAGGAAAAGATTAAGAAGTTGGGGGGAAAGGCAGAACTGAGGGGTTTATTTTGTCTTGGGAGAACATGTGCAATGTGTAAGTTGAAGACTACGCAAAACTAGATGTCAAGTTGATATAAAATCCTGGGAGCTTTTCTTTATAAGATGTCACGGCAGCGATGGGTCTGCGTTGTTCGGTTCCTCAGGTCCAGGACCCTGAGCTCTGCAGAGCAGCCGTCGTCTTCCCATGCTCTGGCTGGCCGCGCCTAGAAGGCTTTTGAAAAACTAGTTCTCTGTGCACATTTTTAAGCTGACATCTAAATTATTCTCTTCATAAGTTTACATAGCTGTAAAAGGTATAATTTCTAGTATAATTAAAATTTTGGCATTTTAAAATAAAATAGTTTCATCAGTTTTTAAAATATATCTCATGGAAGGTAAACACTACAGTGATTTCACGTCAACTATCATTCATTTAAAAAATATTCAATATTCTCTTGTTTAACTATTCGAAATTTAGTATCTTTGACTTGTATTTCCACTCCTCTTCCACAAAATATTTTGTTCCAAAAATATGTATTTTGATGGTTGAAAATCTTTCAATGACTCTCCATTATCTTTCTTTGCCACAGAATATGTATAAATATGGAAATTTAAAAATTATTTCTCCTAGATTTAATGATTTTATTGAGTCTACCTTTGATCAAAACAAATCCATTATAATAAATTGTGATTAAAATAATTATTAAATAGAAAAAGTAAATATCTTGTTAGAAATGTATCTTTAGACATTTCAAAAGAGATGTTAGGAAAAGAGGGCGGTGGGCAATGGGAGGGAGGGAAGGTGCCGGGTGCCGGGAGCCCCTCAGTGAGCGGACCCACACCATGCCCTCCTCCCGAGCCCTGCACGCACAGGCTACGAGTGCACCCCCAGAACGCGGTCACTCCCGGCTTCCACGGTTTTTTCCAGGTCCCTAAGTGCCAGCCTCATCTTCCTCAGCAGATTTCAACGAAGTTCCTTTGGAGCAAGGCTCATGTCTTAAGCTAAGAAACAAAAATTAAATTCGAATAGTTTAAAAATAGCAGTTTAGATAGTTTTTATAATATAATTTGTGTTCACGGTAGAAAATTTAGAAAGTGAGGATATGTCACAAAAGGAGAAAAAGAAGGAGAAAAAAATCATCTGGAATCCTTCTATCCAGAAATAACTATTGTTAGCTGTTTGATGTCCCTTTTAAGGGGCTTAAACTGTCCCATTTTGCACATTTGGTCTCCCTCACAGCGTCACACAGGTCTGGCACGCAGGAGGTGCTCGGTCACCGAGGAGCCTTCAGTGCAGGCTCCACTGCCCGCCTGCCAATAGGGACCCACTTCTTCTCCCTGCAGGTGGAAATCTCAGGGTACAATGGCAGTAGCAGCAGCTGCTGCCACTCTTTTCCCCAGTCTCCTTTCATTGAGGCTCCTTCCCCACCTCCCGTCAGCCTCCCCCTTCCTGGGGCCTCCAGGAAAGGGCTGGTGGAGACATCTGCCCGCACAGAGCCCGGTGAGGCTGTGACCTCGGGCCTCACTTCTGCTGTCCTCCCCAGCCACTGCTAAGACTAGAAATGAGGCATGACTACTTGGGCATGGTGAGCAAGAGAAAAAATATTTGATTCAAATTGGAAACTTTCCTTTTGAGTGCCTTGGGACTTTTGGCATGGCCCTGCTGAAGTTACATCTTATGAGCTTATTTCTCTCCTTCTTCCCCACAGTGTGGCCCCTTTGTCCACTTCTCTGGAGCTCAGACCCTTCTCCTGCATTATTACTTTGCCTGGCCCTCTGATTCTGTCTCTCTCAGGGAAGGCAGGATCTTGCTGGGGTCGCTGAGCCTTTGAGGCAGGCTGGGCCAGGTAGGGCTCAGACTCAGAGCTGCAGGCAATGGCCCAGGGGCTGCCTCCCAGGGTCCCAAACCTGGGGTAGGCCTCTTGTCTTTATCCTCACAAAAGGGCATCTTCTCTCACTTTGTGTAAAACAGTTGTTAAGCCAGCCAGCCTTGTTTGCCCAATGTGTTCCTCTGTCTCAGGAAGTAAACAGTCCAAGCAGGGAAGAGATTTAAAGAGGGACAGGTCAGTAGAAGATTGAGCACTCTTTGATTGTGCTGCACACAGTCTGGATGGCGTTCAAGTCCTTGCTGGAAGCACCCTAGAGACACTTCTCAGAAGTAACACACTCAGAGATGGGATTTAGAGACTGGTCCCAATGACAGAGCCTCCTAGATGTTATCAGTGTGAAATGAGCTGCACATTTGCACACAGGTTTATCTCAGCAAGCACATGGAGAAGAGGGAGGGGAAGTGGCATGAAGGCCAGAGGAAAGGGTGATGGCTATCCTGGACACAAATACTTATTCAGCACCTACTATGTGCAAAGCCTTCTCTGAGGCCTCTTGGGAAATAAAGAAGACCATCACCAGGAGTCATCGTGACATGCATGTTGCCTTATCAGGCAGAATGCTTTCAAACTTGGGGCTGCACTACTCGTTTTACTCAGAAAGTGTAAGCTTTGCAGACTCTGCTCTCCCCAGCCCCACCTGCCCAGCAGACTGTGCAGGTTCTGCTCCTATTGTCACCATGTCCTTCACGCAGCCCCTCTCTGGTCTCACGGAGCTCCCCAGACCTCCTACCTGCCTGTGGGTCTCAGCACATGGCCCCCACTCCTCCTGCCTCATTTCCACTCTGTGATACTAGAAGGGGACCCGGAATTTAAAATTCAGGTTAGATTTCCATGCATATTATTGTTTGTAGTTGAATCTCAGACAAATTTCTTAATTCTCTGAGTCTCAATTTCCCCATTTCTCTAGGGAGAGCCGTCCTGGGCAGGTTGTTGGGAGGATCAAGCAAGGAGGGCTCATCGACAGGATGTCAGCACAGAGAGGTGCCCCCAAAAAAGCCATTTGCTCTCATCATCCCTGTTTTCCAAATCCCCTGAGCACAAGGGGGTGCTTTCCCTCCTCACTCAGAGGCTCTGGGATCTACGAAGAATCCCTTATCTGATGATGACTTAATGAGCAAGAGTACAGTCCTTATTGTTAAAATTCGGGTCTCAATTTCATTCTCGCCCTGGCAGGGTGATTTATGCCCTATCCTATTTCCTCCTCCAGCCAGAACAGCTTTTATTATGTCATCAATTATACATAAATGAGCGTCTGTGCTGCTGGACTCCTCCAGCCAAGAGCCCTGCTACCTGGAGGAGGAGACAGCGTTCTCAGGCTGTGGCCTCTGGGGACCAGGAGACAGGCCGATCAATTGGCCAGACCAGGGAGTGGTATGGATTTCCTGTCCTGTGTTCAAAGCTGCTAGCAAAGCCAGCTGCAGGAAGCTAAACATGCCCCGAGAAAGAGCATCCAGCTTCTGTACATTCAACGATGGGGAAGCAGAGTGATCCCTTGAAGATCCATACAAAAGGCAAGGTTGGCAGCAGGCCACCCGGACAGCCAGGCCTGCAGGGCGGGCAGCGGGAGGGGAGCCACCGCAGACTCAGTGCTGACCGTGCTGAAGGGTAGGCCATGCCCAGGGTGAGGTTGGCACTTTCTGGAAATCATCACTAAACCAAAGCACTCCTTCAGTTCTGAGGAAGTCTGTTTCCGCCAATCCCGGGAACTGCTCAGGGAAATGCCCTGGTTCAAATGGAGTCACAGATGTCCACAACCTGGATTCGGAGCCTCACCCTGGCCTCACTCCTCTACACTGGCCTACAGTGATGGTAGGAGCAGGACATCCAGGTGACAGCCAGAGACTATATGTTCTTGTAAGAGATCAAAGACCTTTGAATGCATTCATTACTTTTTCCACAAGTAGAGATGATCTCCCTGAGCAGGTATTTGCATGAGTGTTCTGGAACATATTCTTGCTTTAGGGGTGTTAAACAATTCCAGGATATGTCTAGTGGACCACATGTCAGAGAAACCAAGCCAAGTGGGGTGCTGGCTGACGTGGAGTAGATGCCAGCTCTGGGCAGGCATCCTGGGGTTGGCACTCCTCGGGCTGGATCTAACCAGATTGCTCCTTCCTTCCTGCTCTGTACTAAGTAGCCCAGGAAACAAGGCCTACATGAAAAGTGTAATTGCAGTACAGACAAAAGAACAGCAGAGAAGCCACAGCCAGTGGGTGGCAGATCCTAGATAGGGGACAGGCAGTGGCCGCTTGGGACTTGAGGGGGGAGGAGGTCTGCAGTGGGGTTAGTGCTCAGTGGGGTTTTTGGAGTTCAAGGGCAGTTGATCATGTCTGGTCAGAGCCCCTGGTTAACCCTAAAGATCCAGGCCTGTGAAAAGTCGAGTTGACTTTTAAGAAAATATTTGAAAGAAACAGAAATTGGGGAAAACAGTTCTAGCCAGGGCCCCAAGACTTTCAGCCTCGGTCGGAGAAGGAGTCCAGGCTTCCAGGAAGGCTCTGGTGTGCTCCTGCGGAACAGCGGGGTCCCATGTATGGGCCAGTGTCTTCCCTGAGGCACGGCCGCCATCAGACCACCTTCATCAGACCTGAGGGGCGAAACTAGGCTAAACCAAAGGTCCTGCTCAGGCTTGGAGTGGAAACAAAAAGACGAAGCCTACAGCCCGTGGGAGCTGTGAGGGGTGCTCCCAGGTGCCAGTCATAGGTAGGTCTAGGGCATACGATCCCACTCTGCGTCCCCACGTGCCAGCTGGTGGCTGTTCATCAACTTCCTCTCGCG